CAATTCAGCCTTTGTGGGGGTGAGGTGACTGGCTGTGTGGAGTTCACACATTCCCCCCATGTCTATGTATATTTCTGCTGGGTGCCCTGATTTGCTTCCACAGCTGAAAGATATGCAGGTTAGGTGAATTATCCATGGAAAAAGCAGGGTTACAGGGATGGGGTGGGGAGTGGGTCTGGGTGGGATGCACTTTGGAGGATCAGTGTAGACTCAATGGGCCGAAAGGCCTCTTTCTGTACTATAGGGATTCTGTGGTCAAGGACCCTGTCACTCATGGTAGGCTTAGAATCCTTGGGTGAAAAAAATTAGTTTGGAAGGTTGCATCGTTGCAACAGGGAAGATGAAACTGTGAGAGTGGGAAGGGTGCCTTTCTGGGTTTAGGCTCTGAGAAAACATCATCAAGGTGGCTGTAGGAGTCAATAGACTGTAATAGATGCTAGTTTATAGCCTGTTGCTAGGATTGGAAATAGACAGGTCAAGGAAAGTAGGGGAAAAAGCAGAGTTGGATCATTTGTATACAAGAAAAGGATGGAAAGTGGAAGTGAAGTTTGTTCAAGATGTCCAGTTTAGGGAGCAAGCAGGACACACCATTGATACAGTTGCCAATGGAAAAAAAGAGTTGAGGGAGTAGTGCCATGTAGAACTGGAACAAGGAATGTTTCATAAATCCCAAATAAAAACAGGCAAAGCTCAGGGTCTGTGCAGATACCTAAAGCAAGACCTTTTAATTAGAGGACGTGAGTTGAATTCAGGGAGAAATGTGTCAATAAGAGAACAAAGCCTGCCAGCTGGAAGAGAATGATGATCAATGGTAAAAAGGAAATGATTAGGGTGAGAAAATTGCAAACTTTTGAAATGATGGAGGGCATCAGAAAAGTCACAGTTGTAGATAGTGTTATGAACCAGATGATGGTACTACAGAACAACTCATATTACAGAATAAAACCTAGATTGATGGATCAGACATTTATTTAGTTAGTTAACGTGGCAGTAAATTATTTAGAAAAATTCACACAAGGCTGCAGATTTTCTTTAGTAACAGAGCAGAAGTTTAATGTACAAAAGAAGAGATAAATAAAAACACTAACTAAATAGAGAATATAATTTAGAAAAATCTTAAAACACCAACAAAAAGTTTCAACTCATTTCTCAACATGATCAACACACAGAAACACAAGTCCAGAGAAATTACCCCTGTTTATCTGTAATAGTAACCTTGGTCTATGAGAAAAGAAGACTCTGAGAGCGTCGGGAATTCAGCAGGAACACCAGTTTATTCAAGCGGCAATCAATTACAGCAAGGCAAGGAACTCAAGGTCATCACGCAGGACAATTGAGTTCACTCTGCAGAATACCCATGCAACACTACCTTTATACACTTTTACATCAAAATCACATGAGTTTACAAGCTAACCATTAACTGAGCATTTAATTTCATCAAATTGCCACACATTACACATCTACTAATCAGATTCAAGCACGCGGTGCCTGTTCACTTTTGTGGTCAACCGTTTATCTCTTAACATTTGTTCCCGAACATTCTGTGGTCTGCTAGCATTCTTCTCTGCTTACTGATATCAGTTAGCAACTAACTATGCGCCTGTGGTTTGGGTGGCGTGTCTTTAGCAATGGAGCGAGCCAATCACCCCAAACATCTCATTCCATGGCTCCGACACCCGAAGCAACACCACTCAGCTGAAGCATCCTGAACAACACCCTACACGCACCTCTGCCGAGCCAGGAACTCCAAAATACCACCCCCCTCCCTGTCCTCTCTCTTCACTCTAATGTCACCCCCACCACATTACTGCTTCAGTGGAGGACAGCGGTCTCACAACTGAGACGAACCCCAGCAACCACCGAATACTCTCATTCCCCTACTTCAATATCAAGTATTTAAGTTCTACTTAATTAATTTTCACTAGCTTGTTTTCTGTGAATTGTGGAGTCTTACAAAGAACAAAGAAAATTACAGTGCATGAACAGGCCCTTTGCCCCTCCAAGCCTGCACCAAAATACTGCCCATTATGACTAAAACCCCCTACCCTTCTGGGGACCGTATCCCTCTATTCCCATCCTATTCATGTATTTGTCAAGACGCCCTTTAAAAGTATCTATAGTATTTGCTTCCACTACCTCCCCCGGCAGCGAGTTCCAGGCACCCATCACCTTCTGTGTAAAATACTTGCCCCTCGCACCTTAAACCCATGGCCCCTGGTAACTGACACTTCCACCCTGAGAAAAAGCTTCTGATTGTCCAGTCTGTCCATACCCTGCATAATCTTATAGACCTCTATCAGGTCACCCCTCAACCTCCATCATTCCAGTGAGAACAACCAAAGTTTCTCCAACCTCTCCTCATAGCTAATGCCCTCTATACCAGGTGACATCCTGGTAAATCTTTTCTGTACCCTCTTCAAAGCCACCACATCCTTCTGGTAGTGTGGCAACCAGAATTGAACGCAATATTCCAATTGCGGCCTAACTAAGGTTCTATAAAGCTGCAACATTACCTGCCAATTTTTAAACTCAGTGTCCCGGCTGATGAAGGCAAGCATGCTGTCTGCCTTGTTGACTACCTTTTCCACCTGTGTTGCCACTTTCAGTGACCTGTATACTTGTACAACCAGATCCTTCTCCCTATAGTACTCTTAAGTACTCTTCGTAGAGGAATACTTAGAAGACTGAGACCTTAATCTTTCTCAGCTTCTAGTAACCTGCAGATTTCTAACAAATCTCTTCTCGTCTGGAAGCTGCACAAACTAAACTGTGTTTTTCCTGAACTATCCCAAACTCTTGTAAGGAGAAGAACTATATCTGGTTTCCTCCAAACTCCCCTAAAAGCTTTCAATCTTTGTGTTTTCTGAACCAAAATCAAACATTGATTATTCTGTACTGAAAACAAGCTAATGACCTTCACTGTTTACCCATCTTTCATAAACCACCACAATATAAACCATATTTTCTGTTACACACCTCAGAGTGGTTTACAGCCACATGCATTCTGAACAATGTTGCAGTAGGCCACTGTTCCGCAAGGACTTTGTTAGCTTTGTATTTATTTAAGAAAATCCTTCACAAACTAACCAACATCCAGCATCTGCAGTAATTTGCTCCTCCATATGCTACCATCTTGCAACTTGGGAAGGATACAGAAGAAACAGTTTCAGTCCTTGATGGAGAGTGAGCTATGTCCCATAAACAAGCAGGATGTAGGCAGTTTTAATGTAGCTTACATTGAGAATGTTTCTTGTTCTCAGTTGTGAAAAAGTAGTCAGTAGCAATTTACAGTCTTTCAAAGGCTCACTTTTCTGTTGAAAGCTATATCTGCCCTATCCATTCTAAGCTTGAGGGCATGAAGGCATGGAGAGAGTGCAGAAGAGGTTATGAGAATGGTTCCAGGAATTAAGAATTTCAGTTATAAAAATAGATTGGAGAAGATGGGACTGGTCATTTTGGAGAGGAGAAGACTGAGAGGAGACTTGATTGAAATATTCAAGAGTAATTATTGTGACCAAGTTTTGTCATTTTCTTGTTGTCAAAAAGCACTCTTTATGAATATTAGAAATGATAGGGAGTTTGTTATTACATGTCACTCCAATGAAAAGGAACTGACGATTTATGAAACTAAAATATTTTCTTTAACACAAATGCCCAGCCTCACCTTTCTGATAGGTGAGCAGATGTCAGAAACAAAAACAGAAATTTCTGGGAAAGCTCAGCTGGTCTGGCAGCATCTGTAGAGAGAAATCAGACTTAATATTTCAGGTCCAGTCACCAGCAGATGTCAGACTTAGATTTTTATTTGTTCCCATTATGGGGACACAGAAGCAGGAGATACTTCAGCTCTACCAACCTGGTCTTTAAAAATGACTGTGCACATACCTAATCTTTGGTCTTCAGGAGGGCAAGCTGGATTGGGAGTTGGACCAGGCTGCTTGGCAAGGAACCTAAGAGGTTGCCCGGTTCCTGAAAATAGCAGGGCAGAAATCATGCCTAGCAGCTCTTACAGGCTTCAGAGATTAAAAATAAAGATTGAAACAGTTATAGAACCTCACTGCCTATGACCCATCAATGTCAACCTGTGCCCCTGTACCCACCTCCAAGCCTACTTTCACCACCTATGCCAATCTACCCATCTTAAATGGCTCCTCATAGCCCATGTCATACACTAATCATACCCAAAGCTAACTATAGCCCTGATATCAATGAAAATCCCCAAAACCACTACTACTTGCCCTTCCTTCTCAATTCACCTGTTATTCAACATGGTCATTAACCAGGAGGCACACTGAAAGAAATAAAGTTACCAGCCTATAGGTGATGCCACAATTGAAGAAAACACATTCTGATTGGTACAAAAAGCACTAAATACCTTGAAGTAGTGTCAACTGACTTTTTTATGTCAGCGTCCACTTCAGATACTTCATGCCTTATATTAAGAAACATTTCCATTTCCAGCAGAAAGTTGATAGCCTATTATTGCTAGACTAATAATCCAAGACAATCCAACTACGGTAGATGGTGGAATTTGAATTCCATAACAATTCAGGAAGTAAGGGTCTAATGATGACTATGAAACAACTGACAACTGTCAGAAAAAAACATCTGGTTCACCTATGTCCTTTAGGAACGTAAATTTGCCATCCTTATGTGGTCTGGCAGACATATGACTCCAGACTGACAGCAATGTGGTTGACTGTTAACTGCCTCCTATGCAGTTAGAAATGGATAGTAAATGCCGGACTAACCAGTAATGCCTACATCCAGTGAATGAATAAGGAAAGAAAAGCAGGTGGAACTGTCCATCAATAGACATCCATGGTGAAAATGACAGTTTGGATAATCAATCATGTGGAATCCAGGTCACCACCAGCTTCGCTAAGGTAATTAGGGATTAGCTGTAAATGCTAGCCCAGCCAGCAATGTCCATTTTCTATAAATAGAAAAAAAAATTCCATTAGTACTGCATATAAGTGAAAAATATAATTCTGTTACAGCTCTATTTGCAGACCACATTCTATTGAGAAAAGTGCTGTCATTGATAAACCCACAGTTTGACACTTTGACCCACAGTTTTTGGACACTTCTTACCAAGTCGGTATGTATTGACACCTGTTGATAACTGTTGACAAGCTGGCCACTTCCGAGAGGTTTATGCAACATTTACACACAATCTTCTTCACTGTTCAAAGTCTCCAATAGCTCCCAAACCCCTCAAAAGATGTGTGACCTCCAAACCCTAATACTGGACACCTACCCAATCCTCCAAGAATCCTTGAGCCCCATGTTCATGGCACCCTGTGACCATTTCCATTGAGATACCTAAGCAACAAGGGTCACCCTGGTTGTCCAAAAGAAATGCACTGAGATCAGGAAGAAAAACAGAAGTTGCTGGAAAAGCTCAGCGGGTCTGGGAGCATCTGTGAAGGAGAAAATCAGAGTTAATGGTCATAAGACCCTTCTGAGGAAGAGGCACCAGACCCGAAACGTAAACTCTGATGTTTTTCTTCACAGATGTTCCCAGACCTGCTGAGTTTTTCCAGCAACTTCTGTTTTTGTTACTGATTTACAGCATCTGCAGTTCTTTCGGTTTGCACTGAGACCAGACCTGCTGTTACCTGTTTGAATCTCCATATTCTGATTTCCATACTACTGGGACTCCAGAATCCCGTTTCAGTGGAGAGAGCTGTGATTTAAATGGCCACCCACCTCTGGGAACAACACGTGTGAAAAATCGCCCACCCCTTTGAAGGTCTGAAATGTCAGATTTGAGAATGGAATATGGGATTCTAACATCTTCTGACTTTTTTTTTCTGCTGTGGCAAAGTTCAGGCCTTTCTGTCCTTTTGGTCTCGTATGTGGACTGACTGAGGCGATGATACTGGAAGAAATCATGGGAAACTGTTCAACAGCATACAGCCTGAACCATTTTATCTCTTATTTTTGAAGGAGCAGGAAAAGCACATGGCTTCAGCCTACCTATGCACTACTTACCCAACTTATATCAACCTTACCCTACATCCTACATTCCACCATCCATGTCTCTGTCCACACTCTACCCACTAACCTCAATATTTATACAGAACCCAAGAACTGATCTATGCAGATTTAGGCTGAGGTCTCACAGCCACAACACCAAACAGATGGTCAACACTTGTTATGCACCCACTGCCTATTTTGGACCAAATATTAAATTCAGCCCAAATATTTCCACCGTTGAAGAAGAAATTCTTCTTTCTTACAAGTACAGTTTTGATTTTTTTTTTAAAGGATTCATTCATGGGATGTGCCAGCACTTATTGCCCAGAGGATACTTAAGAATCAACCAATTGTTGTGGGCCTGGAGTCACATGTAGGCCTGGTAGTTTCCTTCACTAAAGTACATTATTGAACAAGGTGGGCTTTTCCCAACAGTGACAATGGTTTTATGTTCATCATTACAATATTCATTCCAGGTTTTTATTGAACTCAAATTTAACATCTGCCATGGTGGATTTTGAACCCAGGTCCCCAGAACATTACTTGGCCCAACCACTAGGTCATTTTCTAATTTGCTGGAACAACACATTAACAAAAAAAAGGGAACAAGGAGATCCCAAAGTTATTTTACAGATGTCAGGAAAGGAACCGCAATGTAAGAATGCATCATAACTAACTGTCCTTAACATCTCAGAGCTTTCTACAACAAACTTATTTAACAATGATGTGGTGTTTGACTTCTATTTTGCGATTTCCCATTGAGGATGACTAGCACCTTTAATATTTCAATCACACTTTGCTAATAAGAATAGCTAGTTGGAATGGCTTTGGAAACAAATGTGATGTCTTAGGAGTCAAAGACACACCAACATAGGATGATTGAGATAACAAGGTGTAGAGCTGGATGAACACAGCAGGCCAAGCAGCATCAGAGGAGCAGGAAAGCTGACGTTTCGGGTCTAGACTACACCTTGTTATCTCCGATTCTCCAGCATCTGCAGTTCCTACTATCTCTGAAACATAGGATGATTGACGCCACTGTATTCTCAGTGTAGCCACACTGCCTTAGGGAGATACTAAGATGTTTCTGTGCACACTCCTTGTGAAAGTAAAGTGAAACAAATGATCAAATATGTTATCCCTCAGATAATGACTAACTTTATTATCAGAGGACTTGAATCAAAGTTGATCATGGCAAACACATGGATAGGGGACTAGGTGAAGATGAAACAACAGATGGATTTTTGAAATCAATTATTTGCATTAATATTTTAAAGCGTTATTATATTCCATAATTGATGTATTATCAATACAAGCAATTTGTGATGGGCTCAGATAATTTCGGAACATAAATGTGATCTAAACCCTCTGGTTCTTCTGTCTTTTATATCGAGGTAATTTGATTTTAGCATCTAATGTATTATTTGGTTTACTCCCATATTTTCATTTCTGCTTGTAATTGTTTGCATGTCAGTTAAGACACCATTCTTTATGCATTAATTAAAATCAAAACTCTTCATAGGACTGGAAGACCTTTATTTTAGATGATTAACACCGCCTGAAGGCAATGAAGTTGCACAGCTAGACCTCTTTTACCACAAGACTCTAGTCCTACATAATCATATCTGAGTAAGGATATCTGTTTGTCTTTGTGAATGATCAGCACACATTTTTAGATATTCATTATCAGACTATTTGAGAGATGTATTATCTAATATAAGGTAGCCACTTTGAAGCTGAATTTTCCTCCAGCAGGAGAAAACCATAGGGGCAAAGATTTTCTGTTTTTGACAGTGTGTGATCACTAACTTCAATGCAAAACTTAAATGTCTATTACACACAGCAAGTCACTGTTGTGACCTAACAACCAATGAGATGCTAAGAGGGCTAACTGCTCATGACACATAAACATGTTGTGGATAAAAAGATATGATATGAAGTAGAATGTTGCAGAATTCTCGAATGGTTCTCAATACGTGAATTACTTAGGCATGAGGATGTAATTGTATGGCAGTCATGAGTGAGACTAGTTGGTTGTTATTATTACAAAGCACATCACATCATTGACCTCCAGCAGAACAAAGAAAGTAAATGATGATTAATTTTCCTGCTGAATTTCTTTGCTTTAAAAATATCAGTTAACTTTCAACTTTTATGATTAAATGACTACCGTGGTAAAATTGCAAAATGGTTCATTAGAGTATCACATTTTGTGAAAAACAAAGCTACCTTAGGTTCGCAAATGTTTCAAACATAATTTCAAAACAGGCATAAAATACCTTTAGTGGTTTTGTGCAACGTAAATTATGGGATTAGATTATACATTTAGGGAGTTTGGCAGGGTACAGTAAACTTGAGGGGAATTCAGTGTTATATTGGTAATGTTATAGGTAATCTAGAGTGCCAGGCTAATATTCGACGGACATAGATCTGAATCAGATGATAAAATTTGAATTCAGCAGAAATCTGGAGTAAAAAGTTAGCCTAATGGCCACCATGTCAATTGTTTTTAAAAAGCCATCTGTTTTACTACTGTCCTTTAGTGAAGGAAACTCCCTGAACATATTTGTTCTGACCTACATGTGACTCCAGACCCACTGCCCTCTGGGCAATTAGGAATGGACAATAAATGCTGGCTGAGTCTGTGATGACCACATCCTGTGAATGAATAGAAAAAGCAAGGAAAATTTCTGGAGAAGAAAGGTCAAGGAGAAGCATCCTTACAAGCCATAAGGATCGTTTCAGTGAACTCTTGGGGGCAGGGATCATTGAACTGCCTCTCCTGTGTTTCCCTCGAACCATAACATTATTTATGTCTCTGTCTGTATGCATACATAGAGGGAGTTTATAAGGCAGTTAGAGTTTTAACGAGCAGAGATATATGTTGACAGTTAATAATTGTTTATCAGTAATTACAATCTATTTATTTGTAATAAATAGCAATTCTTGTTAATGGTTTGTGCTTTTAGTCAACCTGAATCTAAAAGACATGTACATTTGGAATTCTGCATACTGTTAAACATCTTTAACTTTTGTGAATAGTGGAGCTTGATTTCCAACATAATACCCCAGTAAGCCAGAACAGACAAAATGTTTCCAGCAAAATATCAGGATGCCCCTTTTAGATATAGTCGATTGTGGAGGTCAGTTAGTGAAGTAAAACGTTTTCAAAAACATGATTCTTGTTTAAAGTGTTACACTTAGTTAATGCTGCTAAGTTCAAACATTTTACTTATGTTTTTGAAGGTAACAAATGTAATTAAAACAGAAACAATTGTTGTTAGCCCAGAACATTCAATATCAAGTCATTTAAGCCATAAAGACCATTCCCTCACAAGCCGCTTGCCATGAGATTTTGAAAGAAGGCCTGCTGCAAATATTTCAATTGTAATATCAGATTTTCTAAGTATTATACTTAAAATCTTGTCGGATTGTGGGTAATTCTTGTTTACTGTAAATAAAGTTGCAGGGTTTAAAATTTGAAACAATGAGACAGAATTGGTAGAAACACTTTCTAGTGACTAACTGATCCAGATCTGAGGCATAGCTATTAAATTTAAAGATAAGAGTTTTAGAATAGAGAGCATGACAGAAATATTTTAAATGGAAGGCTTTGAATTTGTGGGGTGCACTTACAATCAATGTTTGATGTAAAGACATGATCACGGAAGTATTACAGTGCAGAAGTAGACCACTCAGCCCATTGTTTCTGCACCAACTCTCCAAATAAGCATCTTGAATTGGTGCCTTTGTCCTTGCAAACTCCTTGACATTGTTTCCATTTAAGTAATGATCCAATTCTGTCTTGAATGCCTCAGTTGAACCATATTCCACCACACTTCCAAGCAGTGAATTCCAGACCTGAACCTGAAAAAAGTTTTTTTTCTCACACATCATTTTGCTTCTTTTGCAAATCACTTCAAATTTGTGCCCTGTAGTGCTTGATTCTTTCACACGCAGGAACAGTTTCTCCCAATCTACTCCATCCAGCCTCCTCATGATTTTGAAAACTTCTATCAGATCTCTTCTTACCTTCTTCTGTCCAAGGACAAAAGTCCCAAACTCTCCAATCCATCCTCATAGCTGAAGATGGTCATCCCTTGAACCATCTTGTAAACTTTTTCTGCAGTATACTAACAT